TATTTTAGTCAACAATATAATTTTTTAATACACTAAGAAAAAAATGTTTTGTTTACAAATTGAACGTGGCCGTCACGGGCTGCCAAACTTATTTTTGTTTAAACATATGCAGTATGAACAATGCATGACCTCTCGATTTGATTAATTATGTCCTTGAATTACAAAATATTATTGATAAATCAACTGCATATGTTTGTGGCAGCTTGTGACGTCGACGTTCAATTGAATCAACAACATTTTTTCTCTGTGTACGATCACTCAACTCTTCTGCGAACTACAATGATATCTGAATATGAAAAACGTTAATCTTTAATTATCTTCATAATAATAAGCATTGTATCTACACAATCGAGAAACGTATCACGTTTTCTAAAACTTAAACAGTTAAGAAAGTCAGTATAAAAAGTCATTTTTAGTAAATATGACGTAAAATTGACATTATTTTGATTTTTTTGTTCTTCTGGAAAGTTTTATAATACAAAGGAACTACACACAAATAAAAGTAAAGAAAACTTAGCAATAATATAAAGAATGAATAGATATTTTTAATATTGTCTCAAATGTCAATTTTATACAATGCTAATACATGTCTAGCGTTTATGTTTATAATAAAATCATGTTCTCTTCCTATAATCACTGCGCTGTTCAATTATTTAAAAAATGTCGTTGTAATTATATCTTCTGTCATTTGCATATTATTAGAACAAGAATATATAAATGTATATATTACAAACAACTCATTTTCTAGCCAATTTACACTAAAATTAAAGTTGCCGAAACAAACCTTTTGAGTCCGCGTCAGAATTGTCGCATTCTTCCTTACTTTCTGTTTGTTTTAGAATCTTCCTTGTTTTTATGATATTTTTTTTCGTGCCATACAAGGGATTTAAAATGTGCGAAAACTTTTCCGCATTTTTACACTTTATAGGAACATCCGGATGTACCGAATTCCAATGTTTACGCAAAAGTGACTTAGAAATAAATTTTAATTCGCAAGCGTAGCAAGGATGATTCTCTAAGCTGTGGTAATATAAATGATTGCAAAGGATTTCCCGAGAATCGAATGTCTGTGCACAGAAATCGCATGTATACGTTTCCGGCTGTCCAGTTGGATTGGAATCTCTTTGTCTAGAAGAACCGACACCTTCGCCTTGCATATTATCTCCAGTTGAACCGGAAGCCATTTGCCTGAGGGGTCGGAACGTTTCTCTGGCATATCATCTAAAGAAATTATTATTTCGTATTAATAATAATGAGATACAACTTTAAGAAGTGAGCTGCTTAAAATAATATTTAGTTAATAATATAATTTTTAATAAACTGGAAAAATGTTTGTTGATTCAATAAACGTCGACGTCACAAGCTGCCAAAAACACATTTTGTTTACACGTATGCAGTATAACAAATGCATGACATCTCGATTTGATTAATTATGTCATTGAATTAACATAATACGGATGAATCAACTGGCATATTTTTGTGGCAGCCCGTGACGTCGACGTTCAATTGAATCAACATTTTTTTCTCTGTGTACAATCACTCAACTTTTCTGCGAATTACAATGATATCTGAATATGAAAAACGTTAATCTTTAATTATCTTCATAATAATAAGCATTGTATCTACACAATCGAGAAACATATGTCACATTTTCTAAACTTAAACAGGTAAGAAAGTCAGTATAAAAGTCATTTTTAGTAAATATGACGTAAAATTGACATTATTTTGACTTTTTGTTTTTCTTGAGAAGTTTTATAATACAAAGGAACTACACACAAATAAAGTAGAAATAAATTAGCACTAATATAAATAATGAATACATATTTTTAGTATTGTCTAACATGTCAATTTTCTACAATGCTAATACATGTCTGGCGGTTTTATGTTTTATAATAAAATCATGTTCTCTTCTTATAATCGTTGCGCTGTTCAATTATTTATAGAATTGTCGTTGTAATTAAATCTTCCGTTATTTGCATATTATTAGAACAAGAATATACAATAATGTATATATTACAATACTTTCTCTTACGCTCTGATCCGGTGCCGTGGGACAATAAATGAATTTCAAAAATGCCTTTATAGTAGAATGTCTTTCCACAGAAATGGCATTTATAATTTGTCGGCAGTCCAGTTGGATCGGAATCCATTTGTCTGGAGGGATCGGCACCTCCGTCCTGCTTGTGACTTTCTTTTTTCCAACAAATTTATTTTGAGAATAGTATTTATAAATTTATTTGATTACTGTGCTTTCCGGCGAGTATATTGCAACACTCTAGAGCAATTATGGTCAATTGTTTAATCGTGGTTAACATGAAATCTAAAATTAAAAAGTAAGATACAATTATATATGTATTATTGAACAATCTTTTTAATGCAAAGCTTCATTACAACAATGTAATGTATGACGTTGTATCAATTATTATTAAATAATAAATATTATACAAATTGAACATAAAATAAGATAATATGCTATCAAAGACAAACATTCATATTGTCATAATATTAAATTTACTGTTTATTTTCGTTATTTGATAATTTTTCACATATACAATTATACATTTAGAATAATTTTTATGAATAATAGTTATACGTATTACACATAGAAATAATTTTCAAAGATATAGGTGTTTATGTTTATAAACAATTATATTGTAAAAAAATGTATTTCTTATTTATTAAAAAAAAATGTTTTGATGAAATAAATATAAAATTTGCTGCTAGGTAAACTTTTAAAAACGGCACCTCGCACCTCCTTTTTCATTATTTCTTATAAAAAAAAGACTATTAAAATGCCAAAATAATTAATAATATTAAATAATTGTAATCGAAAAAGAGGAATTTAATAATGCCAAAATGATATAAATATAAAAGTAAACTTTTTGATTTTATATATCAATACTGAGTTAAAAATTAAGATTCATATATTAGTAGAAAAAGAAAGAAACAAAATATTGATACAAAAATCATTTGTTATCAGAACAGACACAGATGAATGTTATAAGTAAAATTAATTAACTTAATAAAAGACCAATTTACAATATAATTGTTATCATGTAGAAATTAGTGATGAATCAATATCAAATTACATTTGAACGTTAGCTTAGTAATGGCCTGTTAACATATAAAAATACTAAATAATTTGATTAATTTAGAAATACATATTTATATTAATGTAGTTAAAAACGGACAGAAAAACAAATAATCGTCAAACTAGTCATGTTTGAGAATTTAAAAAACATAATTTTAATAATTTATAATAAGTATTTAAGTAGTAAACTACATATATGTTTTACTTTCTCTAAATACTAAAGTTAAAATTCTTAAAGGAATTTTTCTTTTGTTGAATAATGTGGTCGAATAACGTTTTTATCTACCGGCATCTTTTAATGTATTATTTACAATATAATAAATAATCATAAAATTAATGGAAAACATTATGTATTATGTAAAAATATTTTCGTTCTAAATATAAAAATTTCAGTTTATCGATCTGAGTCTCTTTTTGAAATAAAAGAAATTTTAATTGTTGTATTTATAAAGAAAAGAAATAGAACTAATATTTATTTATTATAAAAAATAAACAAAAAGCAAGAAATGACGAAAAACCGTTTATAATCATGTATCTTTACTCATGTACTTTATTATTTGAAATTATATATCTATTAAAAGACTCATTTATATGAACAAACAAATACAGGCGTAGAGAAAATCAAATTCTTAATTTTGTGAATTTTAATACACTAATATATTATAATTACTGATTTTTATATCACTAGAAATTCTTTATATATATATTTATGTCACTAACACATGACAATGCAAGATATACTTCAAAACAATTAAGACCTCGAAGATATAATAATGTGTTCGACCTATTTGTTTGTTTATATTTTTCTAATAATTTTTAAATTATTTTTTGAATAATTTACGGTTATTCCTTGATTAGCTATTTACTATTTTTATTTAACAAATTATTCAGCGATATTTGATATTGTCAATTTTCAAAGATTAAAAATATTAAACAGAATATTGTCGCATTATATGTATTATTTTCTTGATAAAATTTAAGACAAAGTGTACTTTTTACTTTATTGTTTTAATCAAAATTGTGGAAAATTTTAAATATTACTATATATATATATATATATATATATATATTAAATATAGCAAAAAATATATGTAATACAGATAATTTCTGCATAATTTATCTTTTCTCACAGGATTCTTTTTAATCTGTGTCTTATTTGTACGTACCTGCTGATTTTTTGTTCGTATAACTCGCTTAACTCTAGATTTTCCTTGTTACCTCTTTCACTTGAAGATTTTATTAAAATGTGTTTAGATTTTGCTGTTTTGAATCAGAAATGTGCACAGATACTTATTGTTAAAAGATAATCGTGACAAGAATTTATTTTGTAATTCCTATTAACTCGTTTCTTTCAACGGAACGACGTTAAAGCGTGTATGTATAATCGCCTTTGATTTTACTAATACGAACTTTACTGGTCTGTACTGTGTATAAATTTAATATATGTCTTATCGGGACGTATTCCCAAATAAACATTAAATACTGTTTATATATATGTGTGTGTTTTCATGAGAGTTACTTCGCAGCAACCGGGCCAGTTTATAAATTTGAATGTCTTATGATTAGCCAGCAATAATTATATCTCTTTTATCAGAAGGAGAGATTGTAAAAATTGTTCTTACGTTGAAATTGCTTGTCAGAATTAAATAATACATATCAGTTTTAATTCATAATTAATATAAAAACGATAGTTGCATATATAGTCGCTAATGAAAGATGCACATTTTAACGCGCATAGAACATCGAAATACGACAATATTTTCAGTCCTGCTCTTATCTGAATTGTAAGCGTAAATCATGAGTAAGACTGTATTTTGAACAAATAATTATTGAGATTTGTCGTGCACGCGTAGAAAATTGTTTCTTTGTCGAAACTTTCGAAATTATGTATATATTGCACATATGGATTTTTTTATAGAATTGAACAAACGTTGTAAATATATAATGAACAAATTATTTGTTATTTACACAAACACAAGGTATTTAGAGAAAAGATCATGATAAGAAATGACAAAATATCAATTATCGATTTATAATACGATATAAAAGTAGTCAAATATATTTTATTTAATATTTAGATAGTACATTATCTGCAGATTAATTTTACATCAAAACATTCCAACTTACAATTTTTTCGTTTAATATAATAACTAGGAGTGTCGTCTACGAAAACATAGCGTCGACTTTTAATACTTTAGAATCAGGCAAAAATACATTGTTTATATATATTTTAATAGTGCAAAAATTGCAAAAACATGACAAAATGTTAGTTATAGCAGTAAATTATATGATTACAGAAATATTTAATTATGGCCGCAAGTGATTAAGACATAATAAAATGAACAGCGCGTATTTAAATAATTCATATACATTAATGAAATCGTCATAGGTTTGAAAATAAGAACGACTGAAAAGAATCATATACTAAAGTTTTATTATCTAAATGAAAACTGCAAAATTTCGAAAATTAATTATCCTTCTTGGTACTAAAACTTATAAAGAATAAGAGAACGCGTCCAAAATATGAGAAACATGAATCAAATAATCATCTGTTCGATAATAAACATTGTTTAAGAAGAATTGTCAATATCTAATAGCATGTAAATCACGACAGTAAAATATAAAAAATTAAATAAACCTGAATAGAAAGTGGAACAACGCGTTTAAAAATAATTCTGCTGTTACTACTCAGAAAATTTCGCATGGATATGTTAATAAATACAACTGTTATAATTTATTTTAAAATTCTAATTAATATCACACACTGATCAAAATGATGTTACAGCATAATCGACACGGATTCTGTGCTATCTGTGGTGGATGAATATATTAATTGGTAAAAGTAAAAATGTTTCAAGTGCATCTGCAGCAGATAGAGGATATTCTCTATTCTTTACATACAAGTAGCTGCATCTATTCTTTGTCATTTTTCGATTTAATTAATAATGTTGTACTTTCGATATTTATCTACTCTGATTTATATTTCGAAAATACATCGTGCTTTCAAAACTTTTATTTTTTTTTTAAATATTTTGGTGGGGTATTATGTTGAATAACTTTTTAGCGATTGCAATTCTTCGTTCAGATCATCAT